CCAAACACTATTTAAGATTTCTGCTTTAGATTACATAAAAAAATTCCTAATTAGAATAACCGAAATATAAGACTCAGACCAAATAAGACAAATCAAGATATATCTCTGGAACTGCTCAAGACATCAGGATGATCCAGGTTTTAAAACGTAGCTTAAAAAGTCAGGAATCTGAAAATGAGCTCAGATCATTTTGAACAAATTTGACAATTTCAGTTTGATGCTATAGGTCACATGTATGAAATATTTGGTTTGTTTGGAGAAACTCACAAAGCTGCACGCATGTGTGAATAAGCAACACAATAACATGAATAAATCTGTATCAGGAATGGGTCAGGAGTGTGTGAGCAGAGCAGAGCAGAGGGAGAGAAAATAAATCTAATTTTAAATTTAGAAATTGGATTTATTTTAAATTTAAATTGAAACATAATTTAAGGGAAAAAAAGCCAAAGAAATATTTTATAGTAAATTTTATATATTTCTCATTTATGTATGTTCATTTTTCGTGGATATTTGTGTATGATTTATGTACAGATCTACAGTATACACGCTCTTTTTTATTTGCAAGCACTAAATAAAAGCATKAAATGAAATTATTCTGTTTTCCATTACAATTTCAAAGACCCAGTTCAGAAACAAACTGTTAAACTTGCAAGCTGATATGATGTAAAAAAAATGCTCACAAGCTGAAGCGCGCTTTAAAACACTGAAGAAAATGAATAAATTAAAAACAAGACCTTTCAGGAGTTGAGGARCAAAGGTTAATGTTACCGTTTGACGCCTCACATCCACCGTGGAATCTTTTCAGTTGATCTTTTTGTCTTCTGGTTAGATTCTGGATCTGTCGAAATTTGCCTTGAATGGCCTCRAATACCTCTAACATGCCCTGACTGAAAAATAAAAAATATATAAAAACAATAATGTGAGGGGGAAATCAACTTTAAACTAGTACAAAGAGAACATCCAAACAAAATGATAATAATAAATTGGCAATAAGGACACATACTGTTCAACGCYGCTGTTGACTGGCAAATTAGGAGCAACAGCAACGGTGCCCATATTCTCCTGAAAAAGACACATTGAATTTTTAGTCATCATTAACAACAATTATCCAAGGGCATGAAGCTGATACGTGTGCACTTTTATTTATGCAGCACAAGTTAAAAATGTTTCCTGGTTGGTTGGAAGAGCAATAAAAAAAACTGTCTTTTAAAGTGTGCAGTGATGTTATCCTCTAGCACCATCTGGTGAAGTAAAAGTGGACGCACCATGAGAGAATACCTTTACAGCTGCACTGCAGGTCGTATCCTGCCACAAAAACTTTTCTACACATGGCAACGTTAGAAACATTTTTTTTTTTTTGAGTTTTTCTTTCTTGGTAAAATAAAAGAAAAAAAACAGAAAGTGTCACTCTAATAAAGTGGAACAAGTGTATTTGAGATGACGCTACAAAAAGGTTGCAGCAAAAAACTGAATTCTTACAAAAACTAAAAATAACAGTGTTCACTTTTTTCTTTTTTTTTGTCGTAACTGCTGCAGATACGCCCCCAATTCGTTCCTGTAAAATCTTTTTTGCATAGAAGCAGGAAATTTAAGCAGAAGCACAGCTTCTACGTATGCGAGAGGAAGCTGGCATTGGATGCACATCCTTAATTTCACAATCAAACAGAAAGAGTCGATTATATGACTGAGAACGTACCGGGAACTTGACCTTCCTATAAGCGCTGGGCCCTTCGTGGAGATGGTTGCAAGACTCACATTTCACCTCTTCCAAGAATCCAAATGTGGTCAAAAGAAAAAGAAAAAAGAAAAAGAAAAATAACAGTGTTGCACAATGCCGGACGAAAATGCTTTAGTATTAGAGCATTTTAAAAATAAGATTTTGTATAAAAAAAATAATAATAAAAGACTAACCTGATGCTTGCCTTGGTGCTGACAACTTAGCTTCAAGATCAGATATCAACCTCTGCTGGTCCTCGATCTGCTTCTGAAGTCCTCGAGTGTATTGCTCATAATACTCAGTCTGTAAACACACAGTTTCTGTTATTACGTTCACACAACAAGCTGCTATTTAACATCTAGTTTGGGCTACACACACAGTCCTCTCGACTTGGCATCGTTACCATTTTCTGCAACTCCTTTTTAGCATTGTCCTTTTCAATAGAGGCCTGGCGATAAGCTTCGAAAGCTTTGTTGAGCTTGTCTCCAATGTTCCTTTCCATGCCTTGTGCTCCACGATCATCACTGACACGGCAGACATGAGCCCTATGAGGGGTGCACATATAAACTCTGTTACAGCTGCTAAAAGCATTATCTTGAATAGAAAAAAAATAACTTTGGCAAAACTATATAATACTTTACCTTGCCTTGTAAAAAAAAAAAAAAGCAAACAAATAGGTCATGAATACAAAAAAAATTGTTGCAAAATTGTGTGGTTTGTTGAAAAAAGCATTGCTGCAATTAGGAAAACTGTACCAAGCCTGATTAAGCAATCTAGATCATAGCTGCCATTTTTTTCTAATGAATACTGGCAAATAAGGTAGAAATAAAAGTTGCAGACTCCCTATTCTAGTTTTCTGATGAGCCCTGAAAAGTGTTGACGTAATGTATGCCATTTCATCTATGTGCAGTATACTAATTGTTATGTACTTTACAGCCTATAAACAACTTTGAGACAAATATAAGTCCATATTATCTGTTGTAACCAGGTAATAGTAATAGTAAAGAGGCTGGTAGCAGTCTTACCAAGAGCTCTCCATCAATTATTGAGTGTTCTCCATGGAAAATATCAGAGTTAAATTGCCTATCAGATCCTGGATCAGTGGGCTGACTCAGAAACTGAAAATAACTATAAACCAGCCCGGGTGGTTTTAAAGTGTCATTTAAAAAGTACTCCGCTGTTCCGTATTCTTGGACTGCCTTCGTGTGATGCATTCAACCGGTGTTCGGTGACCCCGAGCCCCGCGGATGAATCCGTTTATGGCAGCCGGGCTGACTGTCGGTGAGGTGGCGCGCGTTCTTACCTTCATTCAAGTTTCTCCTTAAAGTCGAAAATATCTTGTTTTGACACCGCGGCAGCCTCCGTTGCCTTATCTTCGGATGTAAAGCTACAAAACCCTGGTAGAGGATATGGTAATGTGTGTGTGTATGTGTGTACTTTTTTTTTTTTTTAACACAGCCCAGTTCGAGTTGGGAACTTCCCTCGGGGAATCCCCCTGCTCTGCGGACTTCCGCCTTCGCTCGGTCCGAGCCAATCAGCGTCGAGTTCGGAGGAGCGCAGGGCTGAGGGTTCTTCCAGCCTACGCGTCTGCAAACCGACTCTGTGCTGCATGTGAAAATCCGTCCCAAACTTCACTTTTATGCTTCGTTGCTTTGCAAACTCCTTCTTTTRTTATTGTTGTTGTTCTTTTATCCGACTTGACTTTGTGCAAACTGTGACAAAAGAACTGCAAATGATTTTTTTTTTCATTTAAGCGTAGATTATTTGCTGCAGGGTGTTGGTTAGTCTAAAAATGATAATAATAAAATATTTTATTCTGAAAACAATAAGAGCACGGGGTTCCTATAGATAAACTGCTTTAGCTCTTTTGCAAATGTGCACTTTAACACCATGCTAATGCAAATTTGGAAACAAGCAGTATTTCAACCTTTTTTATAGGCTAGGTTGAGTGTATTTTTACTACACTTGGAGGAACTATTCATCCATTATTATACAAGTTAATAATAAGRTTTGGATTGTTTTATGTTTTTAATTGTTTAAAAGTGGCCACAGAAGCTATAAGTACTTTTGTAAAGTCCAAGTGAACCAGATAAAAATTATAGGAGCCAGTGGCGTCACTAGGCCTATTTTAGGGGGGCTGGAGCCCCCC